TTTAAAATGCAGATTCCGTGGCCCCCACCTCTGACCTTCTGAATCAGCCAGTCTAGCTATACTTCTTGAGCCACCTAAATCTGCATTTTTTTTTTCCCTCTAGCTCTGTTGGGCATTGAACCCAGTTAGGTCCTCTTGTTGCTAGGCAATTTCTCTACCACTGAGCTATATCCCCAGCCTACCAAAATCTGGGTGTTTGTTAAATAAGCATATCAAGTGATTCTTGGACACATGAAAAGTTTGAAAACAGTGCCTTTAAAGAGACTAAACTGACCATTTGTAAAATGTTTTCTTTAAAGAATTCAACATTTATTAACTCACTGTAGCCTCAAGCAAACTTGTAAGGTTGAACAAATATTATTAGTCTTCTCTGCCAGAAGAAAAAATTAAGTCAATGATATTAACTCATTGGTGATAATTTCCTGGTCTCCTGAGTGTCCATAGGAATATGAACTGAAGTTCACCAAAGAAGCTACATCTGGATGGGCATGGTGGTACATGCCCGTAATTCCCCAGCAACCCAGGAGGTTGAGGCAGGAGAATTGCAAGTTTGAGTCAAGTCTCATCAATTTAGTGAGAGAGAGAGAGAGAGAGAGAGAGAGAGAGAGAGAGAAATTAATTTTTAATATTTATTTTTAAGTTTTCGGCTGACACAACATCTTTGTTTGTATGTGGTGCCGAGGATCAAACCTGGGCATACCAAGCGAGCGCGTTACCGCTTGAGCCACATCCCCAGCCCAGCCTCATCAATTTAGCAAGTCCCTAAGCAACTTCAAAAGACCCTGTTTCAAAAAAAAAAAAAAAAAAAAAAGATGGGGGCGGATCCCAGTGGCTCAGGAGGCTGAGGTAGGAAGATGGCAACTTCAAAGTCAACCTCAGCAACTTAGTGAGTCCCTAAGCAACTTAGCACTACCCTATCTCTAAATGAAAAATAAAACAGGCTGGGGATGTGGCTCAGTGGTAAAGCACCTCTGGGTTCAATCTACTAGTATCAAAAAAGAAAAGAAACTGCATCTGTATTTAAGAGTATGCAGACTAGGGTTCACTGATTAGAATATCATTATTATAAAGAGATGTTGCAGATTAAGAGCTAAAGTTATTCTGAGTTGGGTGTAGTCCCTTTTAATAGCTATATACTATCAATCCCCATCTCTGACCTAGCATTCCTGAGACTAGATAAAACTCTTGGAATGTATACTAACCTTCTAGGATCTCAGGCTTCCACCAACCTTAAAGATAAGAATATGATAATGTCAGAATACTGTAAAAGATTCCCCTGCATTGTTAAAAACATCTGAATCATATGGCAGAGATTTCCCAACCTCAATTTCACCTACTGCATGACACTACTACTTTCTTTTATAACTATAAAAGCTCCTGAAACTTCTAAGAAAGAACTATGTCATGCCTTATAAATCAAAACTATATTCCTGGGCATTTATCACTCATCTATGACTCCGAGAAAAAAAAATTTTCTTATTCCCTCAAAAGAGAATTGTTACCTATGGTTGACAAAAGTATCTTTAAAAGTATGTCGATTTGGGGCAGGGCATGGTGGCACACACCTGTAATACCTGTGAATCAGGAGGCTAAGGCAGGAGGACTGCAGTTTTGAGGGCAACCTCAGCAACTTTGAGGCCCTGCCTGAAAATCAATAAAAAGGTCTGGGGATGTAGCTCAGTGGTAAATCACCTCTGGGTTCAATATAAATATAAAAGCTTTGAAGAATGAGTGGAAAAATATAGAATAAGTAAATTTGGAAAGGCATTGTGTTCTCCCATAAATAGAGGAACCACTGAAGCAGGGGAAAAGAAAAAACAAAAACATAGGACCACCCCCTCACTTGATGCAAAAAAACATGGCTGAGTTAGTAGACAACTTATTCATGGAATCTACCCATGGAAATTATAATATTCAAACCACATAAGGGCTGTGAGGATTTGTCACCATCTATGCCACCAGCAGCACCCTGAATGGGTAGTTAACATTTATAGATAGTAGTAGTAGCAGTAGTAGTACTGGGTATTGAACCCAGGTGTGCTTTAACACTCAGCTACATTCTATTTTTTTTTTTTTTTTGAGACAGGGTCTCATTAAGTTGCTTAGGGACTTGCTAAATTGCAGAGACTGGCTTCAAACTTGCAATCCTCCTACCTGAGCCTCCAAAGTCACTGGGATTACAGGCATATGACACTGTACCTGACTCTAAGAGCTTTTATATATAGCAAGCCCTTTAATGCTCCTAATACCATTATTGGATTTAAATATCTTCTCTTTATAAATGAGCAAATTGAGGCTCAGAGAGGTTAAGTAGCTTGTCCAAAGTCAAACAGCTATAAGTGGACAGCTAAGAAGTACAGATTATCAACCATTTTGTTCAACTTTTTTTTTTTTTTTTTTTTTTTCCATACTGGTGTTTGAACCTCAGGTCTCAAACATGCTAGGAAAACACTGAGTTATATCCTCAGCCCTTTTTTATTTTTATTTTTTTAAGACAGTCTCTCTAAATTGCCCTGGCTGGCCTCGAACTGCCTCAGCCTCCCAAAGTGGCTGGGATTGTAGGCATGTGGCACCACGCCTAGCTTTGCTTCATTTCTTTTTGTAATCCAACCAAAGTCCATAAAATTGATTGTGGACAGTTTTCCCACTTCTTAAATTTAATTTAAATATCACTGCTTTCTGTCTTGGCTTATCTATGACAGCATTTAAAAAGACATTTGAAAAATAGTGATGCATATATTGGAATTTGCACATAAAGAATCTAAGAACCCATTAAACAACATCATCTATAGGATTTAACAAAAAGTATTACTAATAAATGTATATTTCCTCAAATATGTGTAGTTTTGGTTGTTTGTTTTAGGGTTTTTTGTTTGTTTAATCTGTTTTTGTTTTTACAATAGTGGGGATTGAACCCAGAGGTGCTCTACTACTGAGCTACATCCCCATCTCTATATCTTTTAGATCTTTCAGCCTCAGCCTCCAAAATTGCTGGGATTACAAGCATGTGCCATAATGCCCCACTATGTATTGATTCTGATTTTTAAAAAAATTTTTTTTTTGCACCAGAGACTGAACCTAGAGATATGTACCAATGAGTTACATTCCAGTCCCCTGCCTTTTAAACTTTAGTTTAATTGTTTAATTTTGAGGCAAGGTCTTGCTAAATGGCTGAGGGTCTCACTAAATTGATGAGACTAATCTAGCATTTGTGATCCTCATGTTTTTTGGAGATGCTGGGATTAAAGGCCTGTGCTTCCCCACCCCGTTTGTAGATTCTATTTAAGAATAATGTATAAATCCATTTAAGTCACAAATGGATTTGCTAAAGTCCTATCATTAAGTTTTTTCTCTTACTTCAGACATGTAAACTACTATGTTGTGGGAGACTGTAAAATGTTTTGAGGTTTAAAATGGAACCCACTGACATTTTGGGACATAAAGGGTTTAGCAGAAAATTCAGTTTAGTGGAAAAAATCAGGGTTTAGTGCCTAATAGAGAGGCCAAAACTAGGTCAGTGTCTCTGACAGTCACAGCTGGTAGAGAATGATGTCACCGAGGCATGGGGGCGGGGGAGGTACAATTGAAGGTGGAGAAGTGGAGACCCTTTGACTGGGAGACTGTGGGGTGGGATTTACAGAGCAGGGCTGTAGGTCAGATTTTGTAGGCTGATTGCAGAAACAGCTGAAGCCTGACTTCCTCCCGACCAGCCTCTCCCCTGTTCTCTCCCAGGCCACGTCCCTACCTCAGTGTCTTGGTCAGACCCCCTCTGCTGGAGACAAAGACACCTTGAAAGCAATGAGGAGAAGGACAAACATGAAAAAAGAAAGATTCGACAAAGGAGAGAAGGATGAGGAAACGAGGTAAAGAAACTATTCCTCAAATCCAGGGTAAAATGGAGGAAGAGATAACAAACCGAGAGAGACAGATAAAAAAAAAAAAAGAAAAAAAAAGTGAAAAAGATGGCTGAAGGAAACAAAAGACAAATTAGTGAGCAAAATGCTAGGAACAGGACATCACAATGGTTGAAACTTGAAATTAAGAATACAGTTAGTTTTTTGCCAACAAATCAAAACTGGGATACTCCCAACTAGGACTCTTCAACTCACATCCACATTAAAAGTTATGCTGTCTGGTTTACCTGTCTAGATCTGGGAAAAAAAAAAAAATCTATGACTAATTTAAATATCTCATTCCAAGTTTAGGTGGTACCTGTTAAATTTTTTAAAAGTAATGACAATAACAGTTTTTGCACGTGGAGATTGGGTATATTTCAATACCCCTGCTTTTGAAATGTCATGCATTTCACACATTATTTTAATCACCAGAAATAAATATTTTAATCCTGCTCAATGAATTCCTAGACCAAAACTGATGTCCTTCCATCATGCCCAATAGCCTTTCTATAATAACAACAAAATCTCTTTTTTGTTCATATAAGAACTGGTAATGCTCCTTTCTAGATAATTAAGATTTTAAATATCCCCCGGTGAACCAAAATATACCTCTAATATACATATTTCAGGATAAGCCATGTCTAGAAGAATATGAGGGAGACGAACTATGCTAGCTAGGTACTAGAACTAGGGGGGTCTAGTGCTAAATCTGGAAGTATGTATTATTTCTTTCCTTTCTCCTCTGAAATTTCTTCCTTTCTAAGGAAGGAATTTCTTTTATTTACCTTCTGCTTTCTTGTTCCCCCTTTCTCTCTTTTTCTCTTGTTGCAACAGCTTCTCTCTTGGTTTCCATCTCAGGTTGCCCCCATAATCTCCTTCTAAATTCTGACTTTGTTGTGTCTTGGCTTAGTCTGCCAGACTTCCACTAAACTTTCAGAGCTGGAATCAGAACAGTGCATTTGGCAAAAAAATCAGTCACACATTCCACACAACCACAAACAAGCACTCTGACTGCAAAATCTTTTCAACATCCATTCCTGTTTCTTGTAGTCAGCAGTTCACACAGACCCATGATCTGAAAGAAGCAACACATACATCACATACATTGTGCGTGCACATGGCCTCTGCAGTCAGCTCACAAAGACACAATGTCTGCAGAAAGGTCTTGCAGGCAGCAGACACAGGCAGTGCATTCTCCACCCCTTTCATAAGCTCTTCCTGACTGGCTCTTTCTTCCAGACACCTCCTCCCCTCATGCTGCCTGGCAATGACTCCCCTCCTTTTCCTGCAGCTCTGCAAGTCCTAACTGCAGTGCCATCCATCACTCTCCCAACAGATCCTTAAAGCAAAGCAATTGTTGTTTCTTGAAGCTCCTTTTTGCCCTGACCAGGAACTTGCTTCAGCCAAAGAACAGGCAGAACAGAATCTCCTTCGGGAACATGATACTGTAGGCTGGTCTCTAGTACTCTAACTAGTTTCTACAAATTTTAATGTAGGCTTGGAAAGCTTGAGGAGAAAGCAGGGAGAAAGAAAAAAAGAGGGAGAGAGAAAGAGGGAGCTCTGAAAAAAAATTATTTTGTTGAAAACTTGGACAAAAATCAGAGAAACAAACTTAAAAAGAAAAGGGGAAGCAGAGGAGGAAACAGCAAGAGATGTGAAATGGTAAAATATCAGAGATCAGTAATATTATTTCTCTTGAGCTTTTTGTTTCAGGGGGATAATCAGTAAGAGAAAAATCCTGATGAGATTATACACTTTGAAATTTTCTTTAAAAGTCAAAGTATATAACCATGACAAATACCTGCCACAAAGGGAGATTCAGCTACTAATTTGAAAATGTTTTCTGATGCTTGGAGAGATAGTATCATTTGGATTTTAGTTAAACAGATGTTTTGCCTCAAATATTACCTTATGAGACATAACCTATTTTTGAAAATTATCTGTTATTTACCTGAAATTCAAATTTAACTGATCATCCTGTATGCATCTGGCTATCATCCATTCACGTTCAGGAGATTCAGATACATACTCACATTTAGTAAGAATACCTGACAGAGCCAGGATCACCTGAAGGTGATTGCAAAGTATGCTACACACACCAAATTGAAATCTGCAGGGATGGAATTAGATTCTTCAGGCCTTAAGCAACTTAGCAAGACCCTGTCTCAAAATAAAAAACAAAAAACTGGGAATGTAGCTCAGTGGTTAAGCACCCCTGGGTTCCATCCCAGTACCAAAAAAAAAAAAAAACAAACAAACAAACAAAAAAAAAACCCAAAAAAAACCTCTTCAGTTTGATATACATTGGATAATTGTGATGCATGAAAGTTTCATAACCACTGATTTTTAGGAGGGCTACACAGCCCTCCCTGAATCTGCATAGAATTAAAAACTAGTATTTAGTTGGGAGGGTACCAGGATTGAACTCAGGGGCATTCAACCACTGAGCCACATACCCAATCCTATTTTGAGACGGGTCTCACCAAGTTGCTTAGCACCTCGATATTGCTGAGGCTGGCTTTGAATTCCTGGTCCTCCTGCCTCAGCCTCTGGAGCCTCTGGGATTATAAGTATGTACCACTGCACCATGCCACTTATATTTTTATATACATTTGTACATATATCTGTTACACTATAGAAGCACTAACTTCCTTTTAAAACTTCTTTCCTTCCTTTGTCTTTTATGATGCTGAAGATGGAGCCCAGGGCTTCACATATGCTAGACAAGTGCCGCACCACGTAGCTAAACCCAAAACATTAACTTTTTAAAGTCAGTGGGTGCTTGGTGTGGTGGTACAAGTCAGGGTCTCACTAAATTGCTGCAGATCATCCTGAATTGTTGAGACGGCTGACTTTGAATTTGCAATCCTTGTCTAAAGCAGGAGGATTGCAAATTCAAAGTCAGCCTCAACGATTCAGGATGATCTGCAGCAATTTAGTGAGACCCTGACTCAAAATTTAAAAGGGCACGGTGGTAACCTGTAATCCCAGTAAACCAGGAAGCTGAGGCAGAAGGATCACAAATTCAAGGCCCTAAACAATTTAGCAAGACCCTAAGTCAAAATTAAAAATCTGAGCATGTAGCTCTGTGATAAAGCTCTCCAAAAAGGAGGGAGCTGGAGGTGTAGCACAGTGTAAGAATACTTGCTTAACAACTGCAAGGCCCTGCATTTGATTACTAGCACTGCAAATAAACAAATAGATAAATAAATCTAAATTGCTTTTCTTTGTATCAGCAATGAACAAAGTAGAATACAAAATTAAAAAGACAACACATTCAGGCACAGTGGTATATGTTTATAATCCCAAGGGACTAAGGAGATTGAGGCAGAAGAATGCAACCTCAAGGCCAGCCTGAACAATTTAGGAAGATCCACACACACACACACACACACACACCTTAAAAAGGGGAGTTGGATATGATTGACTCATGCTTATAATCCTAGTGACTTGAGAGGTTGAGGCAGAAATATTGGAGGCAGGAGGTAGGTATAGATTTTTTTATCTTCTAGTTTTGTAATGTTTTTATTTTATTTTGTTTGAAACAGACTCTCTCTAAGTTTCTCAGGCTGGTTTAAATTCCTAGGCTCAAGGCATCTTCCTGCTTCAGACTCTAAGGTGCTAGAATTATAGGCACCTGACACTATCCTCCTCTTTCTGGGAATTTACATTTAGGTGTATGATCTAATCTGTGGGGGGATTAAACCCAGGGGGTGCTCTATCACTGAGCTACATCCCCAGCCCTTTTTATTTTTGAGACAGTGTATCCCTAAATTGCTGATTATTATGGAGTGTGTGAGAATTACAAACCACCAAGCATATTAAGACAAATTGAAAGGGAAAAAGGGCCCTTTAATGAGCATGCCAGGCAAGCAGCTGGAAGCAGGCTAACGCCTCAAAGAACTCCCAGCTTCTGAATTTTGGAAATACAGAGTTTATAGAGACAAAACCCACAAGAACACATTTAGGTCAGAAAGACCCTGTTGGAACGTATTTTGATTGCAAGAGAGAATTGTTTTGATTACACATTTCAGAGTCATTTTGTTATACATCAGGGCCATAATCAGGGACACGGGAAGATCCTACTGTACTGTCAACATAGATACATCTTTCAGGAGGCTGAAAAAGAAAACATTTTAAGCAAGGATAAAATGGAGTCAGGTCAGAACAAAATGGCGTTACTTTGGTTCTTTTTCACTTCACTGATAATCTCTCTAAACTGCTGAGGCTGGCCTTGAACTTGTGATCCTCCTGCCTCACCCTCCTGAGCCCTTGTGCCACCGTGTCTGGCTGTTGCTAACTGTTTACCACAAAGACAATCGGACAGAAATCATTGATGAGGCAGGTCTTAGTCTGTAGGGGTCTTCCACACTGTTAGGTATAGCTCAATATTCTTGCTATAGGAACTACATTAACTAACATTAAGCAACTGAACAGTAAGACTTGTCTGTAGAAGTTATTTGTTGCCCTCTTGTGTCTGGTTTTAGAAAATACAGTCTCTCCTGGCCTCACCCTCCTGAGCCCTTGTGCCACCGTGCCTGGCTGCTGCGAAGTGTTTACCACAAAGACAATCGGAGAAAAATCATTGATGAGGCAGGTCTTAGTCTGTAAGGGTCTTTCACACTGTTAGGTATAGCCCAATATTATTGCTACAGGAATTACATTAACTAACATTCAGCAACTGAACAGTAAAACTTGTCTGTAGAAGTTATTTGTTGCCCTCTTGTGTCTGGTTTTAGAAAATACAGTCTCTCCCCTTCACGCTCAGAATCCTCTTAATTTGCTGATAACGTCTTTATTTATTCTAAGAAACAAAGTTTCTCTATACTCTAACTCAGAAGACTTTTTAAGTGGGGGGGTCCTCACTATGTCACCCTTGTTGTCCCCTGAACTCCTAAACTCAAGCCATCCTCCTGCCTCAATCTCCTGAGTAGCTAGGACTAAAGGTGTGCCAGGCTCATATAGAACACTTCTGACAATCAGATGTGCCAGGTTGTTTTTACTTCTGCACTGAGGGATTCTGACAGCAATTAGTTGTTCAATTCATACCAACTCTGTCTCCTGGGAGTTATGTCAAATCCCCTAAATTAAGAGATTAATCCCACCAAACTGTCCCACCTACAGTAGCTGCAAACCTCAAGTTTGGTACCTCTGACTTATAAGCAAGCTATCACTGGGGATTCCCATGACCTCCTCAACTGTCTGAATAATATGGTAGAAAAAAAGAAAGCACATTACTTACCAGTTCATGATCGAGTATATTATCAAGAACAGATGAAAGAAAAAAAACAAAAACCAGATGAATAGCTGGCCGAAGAGTGTATGTAGAACGTGGGGTCTGAGAAGAGTCCTCAGCACAGGATAGTCTGTCCCTGTGTAAGGTGGAGTTGGGATGCACCACCTTCCTGGAATATGGGTTCAGTTCACCAACCCCAAAGCTCATCAAGCCTCCTTGGTTCAAGAGATTTTATAGTGCTTTACCTTTAGCCACTCCCTGCTTCTTGGAGGTAGATGGGTGGGTCTGAAAGTTCCCGTTCTAATCTCTTAGTCTTTCTGGAGAGCAGCCCAATCCTGAAGTTTACTAGGGGCCCACACTAAAATCATCTCATTAGCAT